TCTCCATTGAAGTCTAAGAAAACAGCGAAGGAAATCGACAATCTTTCTGTAGCAGGTCACTTATCCTACAGGATAAAGTGTGAAATAACGTTTTACAATGATTACTATGCGCCACAGCTAAGATAAAGACATTGAAAAAATAAGGTTGATAAATTATTTCTCCAATCTGTGGACGATAAATAACTCAGCTTCACAAAGCTAAAATTGACGAGTTGAACTAGGCTTTCATCCACTCATCCTCGTGTAGGCTTCCGTTCTTTAACCCCTTGAGCAACTTTATTATTGAACCCTTCTCCACAGAGGAAGTTTTCAAGCCATTTCAAACCTCCAGACCAAGGTCTGTAGTTGGCTCTGAAAGTCTGTCTCCTGCATTTCACAGGGATAGCGCGGATTCCTTGACTGATGTGAAATACCCTGTCCTTGTTAATTCTGTTAATTCTGTTATTATCACTTATTATCGGAAATCCAGGACGTCAGTTGAAGTCCAACCCACTAGCTGGAGTGTTCGGAGAACAAAGGTTTAATGAAATAACGGTTTATATTACCTATTGGACTGTAGTGGTGCTTCTTGTGTCAAGTCGCAATGTTCTCCGGCAATGGTATTAGGATGGAATCTCAATGCTGCAGATTTGCAACTTCATCAATAAATCACGGAAAAATGCCCTCCAACAATTTTGATTGCGTTGCCCTTTTTATTTCAATTGACTAAGTCGAGCAGTTTTTTTTCCTTCGTGCTTGTGGCTCGCAGGTTCAATAATTTACCGAATTGATCGTTTCAGTTTTATGGGTCAGTTCTTGTACTCGCTTCCAGCTAACTCCACATTGCCACACGCGATCGATCACCGGTCGGTCGATATCTTCAAATTTGACTTTCACCGTTTATCAGCCTTGACATTTGCAGTCAGCTTTATGTGTGCACACGCTGTTTAGAGCCAGTTCACGCACATTCACCTGTAACTATTTTTTTACCTTACAGCGATAAGAAAGCTACAATTTGTCTATTGTATCATGTGCAAGCATCGACCAAAATATGCTTGTAAACGAGCCAATTATTGATTACCGAAAAGTTCAGAATTATGCGGCTCGGTGTACTAAATTGGATGTTATTGGTATCAATCACATGATATGTTCCAATCAGAGTCCTTACTACATTGAGATCAAGTATTTAGTCAAGAGATTCTATTCCTTTCAAGAGGAAAGCATCGATTCATTCTCGTTTGTCGACACTTTTCTACCTCACCGAAAGTCCCGAAAAGAGATACCATCAAAAGACCCCATCGAGTTCGGAACAAGTATCCATTTTGTCTTTATTATTCACAAAGTCACGTGGTTGTTTCAATGATCTGGAGAATTGATCAGTTTATCGCCTACGTAAATTTACCATCTGCTTGCTGACCGATTTTTTCAATCTTCACGGTGGATTACTATTAGCCGTCATCCCTTTCCATTTGTACACAGGTCCATCTATCATAAGAGGGTTCTCACAAATTCCGTTTTTGCTTTTCAGCTCATTTTTATATTGCAAGTCCCGTGGATTTGTTTTGCCACGTGTCACGCTTACCTTCGTCGAGGGTCTGAATTGCCTTCATATGTTTTTTTTGGAGGGGGTTTGCACCGAATTCAGTTGTATAATGTTATACTTTAGTTCTCCTTATCAGTTTGGGAGCAATTCACATCTGATTCTTTTACACTTAGTGCGAAATCGACTTATTACGCAATATTTTGTTTGAATTATCATTTATTTTCATCTGTTAGTGTGAAAGGTCTGCATTAAATGATGATTAATTTTGTCAAAGATGAGAAGTTTTGTCTAAATTATTTCTAATCATTTAAGTGGTTGCTTGACATTCAATTTCAGATGCTGCTTTGAACTTGATGGATAAATCTAACTTTCGACAATGAACTTTGCATTTGAAGCGCCTACACAAAGAAGTTCATTACGTTTGAATCCAGCGATCGGTGCCATTTACACATCAGGATGGACACTGACGCTGTGAAGGTCCCGTGTGGGGTATCATGGGATGAGTATGTGTCTCATGAGCTAAAAGGATCAAACAACCGCCAAGTGTTACAAAATACAAAAACGCATGTCCGTTGCACAAGTTACTAACGGACATACCTTAGTGGATGCAGAAATGGCCAATAGCATTTGTATATCCACGCTTGCACACAAGTGCACTGCTTCAATCTGCTGTCCAGGGGGATCTGTCAGAGTTTGAATTTGGTGATGGATAAGCCTATTTATTTTCATGAATAGTTGGGGGTCGTTCGGCTATTTTACACTCATTCTGTACCCTTTCGAGAAATCGTGTGGATAAACAACCGCAATTGGCTTTGATGGTTATCTGGCTGCTTTCTTGAGGATGGAACGGATTGGGGTTCGACAGTCTCATGCACCGTACGTCAAGGTCGATGTCCGCCAACACTCTCACGGACCAAAACTCTTAAGAGCAAACAATCCCCCATCGAGTTTCAACATCATGAATTTGTTGAAACCATTCTACACAAGAGTTTCCCGTATATGTGGCGTCAGGTTTCTGGTGGTGTTCATACACGGACGTAGTCACGATCGCAACTGGAAAGCCATATTCGCATATCCAAGCTCTCTGTTGGGCAGTTCTGCCCAAGAAGACAAGGTCGTTCACCGTGCGAGCTGCATCTTACACCACCGGAATGAATGTGTATAAGCTGCATTGGTGCAAACAAGCTCGGATATGCTTCAATCGCTTCGGTCAATCGATCGTGTGCAGAATGCTTCCGATCAGCTGATCGATGGTGGGAATTTTGGATGTCCTATTACGAACACATTGCACATTAGGACGTTATCCTATAGATTAGATCTCCCACTGCAGATCAATCAACAACCTATGACTATGGGAAACTGTAAGGAAACCCTCAAGTTCTCTCATCCCAATAGATATTCCGCTGTCATCTATGTGATGCGATTCCTCACAAATAATGTTCTTCTATTGCACCGTTTCCTGCTGATGCCAAAATCTGCGAAAATTTTATCGCATGCTGCGAGATAGAAGATTTTGCTTTCGTTAGTTTATCGACGATGCCTAAAGTCACGTGTTCCGCCAATATGAGTGTGACACCAGTGAATGATGATTGTAGTAATGGAATTCTACTGGGTTAAGCTTACGCGTGAACCGTCAAAGGAAACTGAAAGAAAAAAACATCTTAAACAATATTGAATTGATTGGATTTGAATGGTTATTCAACGCTCCAGACTGTCACGATTCCCGTTTTATTTTATCCATCCAAATATTGTTTTTCCTCTGAATCTCTAAAAGTAAATCATGTGAACTATGACATTTATAGCCTACTCTATTTTGGTGAGTATTTGTTTTTTTCCACAATGCATCTTACCATTTACCTGTTCGTTTGTCAATCACAAAATTTCTAAGAACGCTTCCAAATTGACATATCTTTTCGCCTGCGTAAGGGTACGCGATATGAGAAAAGTTGTTAGTGCTTGTTCCGAGCTATGCATGTTTTGAACATTTGTCACGTCAAGTTTCAGTTAGGTGGTTCCATGTTGCCTGTAATCGATCGATCACGTGGTCTGAACATATTTCTTTTCAAATATTTTACCGGAATTAGGAAAGCGTTCTTTTTAGCTTATTCACCTTAAGTCTGTTTTAACGCTTTATCTTACCAAATTGTCTGCATATTTTTGTATTTTACCCCACGTATTGTATGGTAACTTAGGAATATTTCCTCTCCTGCTAGTTAAGGACTTCCAATAGGCATGTGGATTACTTACATCTTTATCTGTGTGCAGTGGCATCCAAACCGAACTAGGGACTTCCCAGTATCTGAAAGCATGGAAACTTCCTGCCCGGAAAATCTTATCCAACCCCAAACCTTCTCTCAATGCTGATTGAAGCCAATGCCACTCTACAGCAGTCATTCCAGATTCCGACACACATTTTCATGAACCTTTGGAGGCCAATCCTCCGTCAAACCCTTGCTTCTCCTTCTGAACTCTGAGTTGACCTTGTTGTGCTGATTCATCGGTACAATGATCTACATATTTCTGTTTCATGTTTCTCCATATACTCCTCCCGATCGACCGTGCTAAGTACAGCTTTTGGTGCTGTTCAGTCAACCGAAGAACCGGGATGGGCCTCCTTGATCAAAATCCATGATTTCTTCGAACTGGCGAGCCAGTGCCCGTAGAGGCAATATGCGTCGTGACGGGTTAGCCATCACAATTTCTGAACAGAAGAACCAGATACGCTTCACTTTGTAGGCATCATTTGAACTCAAAAGAACGAATGAACATGGGGGCCGTCGAACTGCAAAGTGCATATCTGTTTGACCTTCAGAATAAACCGTATGGATTATGCTCAGGTAACAGTAGACCAAATCGTGTGAAAGTACACCGGAGCTCGACTAGATTGAAATATTCCACACGACCACCACTCATTAAGGGAGAAGGATGGTTTGGTAGAGCAAGAGAGAAAGTAAGGCGATTAATAATGTTAATAATAATAATGATAATAATAATATGATTATCAACATGTCCGATTTCAGTGTTACTTTCCCTACAGAGAATGAATAGTCCGTTTGAGTTGATTGTTGGGGGACTGGTTTCATGACTGTGACCTTAACTTAATTATTTTAACGCAGCCGTCTGAGGCTTCTACCATACGTAAATGTTAGAGCGGTCAACTTGAATAAGCCGATTATCATTTGGTCAATTTCAGTTTCATCGATTGCAACTACTGTTGTTTTTATTATTAAAATAAACTGGGGAATATGTGCCTGTGTACCTAAACTGTTACGTTGAGTGTCGAATCCACTTTGTGTGCGTAAGTGACGCATCATAATCAGATTGCTGCTGATTTGATCTAAGTTACTCAGACTACTTCGTAGTGTATGCTGATCGAAACGTGACCTAATCATTATGACCCGGAAAGAATTTTAGAGAAAGCTTGTGGTGATTGCCCAGTAATCCACATGTATTCGTTGCCAGGACTCGGAAGATACTGGCCACGAATTCCGTTTCGAAGGTTGTCTTCGAGCGTTGTGCATACAATCAACACAGGATTTCGCAACACGACTCCGATCATGATTCATTTCAGGCCACCAACATGTGAGGCGAGCAAGGGACTTCATCTTCTCAATCCCAAGATGACCGGAATGTAAGCCCTTCAAGACAGCAGTACGTAATGTAGGAGGTACGATAGTACGATCATTATAACACAAGACGCCATCGCACGTCACAAAGCTATTAGAAATCATTGCAGGTGATGAAAATGCTTTGCTGTGAGACAAGCGAAAGGATGAAATATGTGAATTTTCAGCTTCTTTAAAAATAATAAAAGAAGAAGCTCATACTAGTGATATTGATATTCTCCTAAAAAGAAAGGAAGATGTTCCTCTACGACTCACTATGATCATGTTGCTGTCATGAGACAATATTACTGCGCAACGATTTGGATACTATCAGAACCAATCCATCGCGAGCTACCTAGGCACATCGCTTCCATGAAAGTTTTAAATTGGTATTCACTACCAAAGGCATGCATTAGCAAGGACAGACGAAGCCGTCTCTGAATGTTGTGTCCTCGACCACCTATGTCCATTTCATAGGGACTCTAGGGCATAAACAAAAACAAACCGAACGGAATAAGGTTTTGGGCTTTCTAATCACGCACCTCTGTTTGTGACTGCTCCCGTGCACCGATTATGCCCGTTCTGTATCGTCAGAAGGAACAGTTTTCCACTTGTTATCAGCCTACATTCGATCCCACACAAAGTAAATTATTTAAGCGAGCAATCCATGGCTGCAACGGGATTCTAAGCTTTCGGAACGTCCGCAAAGAATGGCGGCCAAGATAGCCAATGGACTACATTCTAAGATTGAGGTGGAAAGTCTGGAATCACTGGGTTCTTCTCCATACAGTATTGCCTAATTCGAGGATACTTGATTTTGGTTTATCAAATAATGCAGAACCCTGGTCGCTCATGCTGTTCACTGTTGGTCTTGTCCCCCAACATTCACCTCAGGGGGTACTCATTCAAATTAATGTTACAAAATTGTCGACTAGAATGCCGACATCATTCATTTACCCTCAGGGTGTGCAGTACTTCTCTATCACCTCACGTTGTTCCTGCGTCCACAATCGAATCCTTCAAGCACAAACTGGATGATACATTGACATGTCATAAATTTCGACACCCGTAGCAGTACACCAGACAATAAAAGTTTGTGACATCCCGTATCTCCCTCTCTCTCTCTCTGATCCTTAAATGGATCCAGTTGTGCGAGAAAACCAATGGGACAAGAAAAGCAACCAGTTGTAAATATTTCTCATAATAAAAATTTGATCTTTGTCCTGTTGGATTGTCCGTTGCGAAAGAGTAAAGTGGTACTCGACAAAAAACAACCAATTGTTCGAATCACTGCAGTCGCTACATATATATTTATATAAAGACCATAAGTATTATTCGAACATTCTCTAACGGTTTCTGCAATCGGTAATGTATCGCCATCCCAATGATCAAAATTCATCTCCTGACAACAATATGCGTTATTCTTTATCGTACAAGCCGTTGAGATCAAAATCAAATTCCGAGCATTCACTAGAGCAACTCACATCACTTTATGTCAAAATATCTTGAAGCAAACGGTGAAACTACTGTGGGACTGGTTATGCAACTGAATTTGTTGCCCCCACCCCAACCCAATAACTGTGATCGTCAACTCACTGCACATTTGAACATCCGTTTGTACGTTTTTTAACGAGTGGCATCGCTGAAGAAAGGTTTCAGCAACGGAAAAACGCTAATCATATTACGCACACATACACAAACACACACACACATAACCTACTAATTCATCACAGCGACGGGTGAATGACCTACAACTCAGTTGATGGCTAACATTCATCATATAATACTGTTTGATATAATGTTTGCACCCCCATCATTAGTGATCATTAAAAAGTAAGTGTATCTCCTCCAACATGTTTTCTCACTATTATTACCTGAATAACCCGTGTCATTCTTAACTGTGTAAAACTTATCCTGAAATTTGACCTTGTTTCGATGTATTGCGTAAGTATTGTAAACTGTTTAAAACCATTTCGCCTGATATTTGTCTTCTATCAAACCGCAACAAGCACGCGGGCTGATTACTTGTAAATATATACAAAAACGTCCCATTTTAGAGTGATTTTTACCTCATTTCAAGTTGCGGTTCAGTGTGAATTTTGTCAAATGAAATGGAAGACACTAAACTGCTTACCACTTCCATCCTCGCCCAACAAGCTTGACAGCCACTGTGCAAATAGAAGAAAGTGGTTTCCGCACTCAATCTGCCTTAATTACACCCCGGTAGTGTCCTACTTTTCTATCCACTTTTATGTGACATGATTGTACAGCATGTTTTAATATGAACAATAAGTAACAACACAATACAAAATTCTGTTCTTAGCTACGCACGTGTTCTCCGAGTG